TATAAAATAACGGGTTTCTTAAAAAAAAACCCCGTTTGCAAAGAATTTCAAAGTTAACAGGTCGCCAATATGTCCTATAACTTCTTAACGGTCATCCAATGACATACATGTTATGATTTGCTTCGAGTGACTCCTCAAATTTTTATTAGCTTGTGTGAAGAATTGAAAAAAAGGGAAAAGTTGAAAGATTCCAAAATTTCATCAATTCAAGAACAGGTTGCAATGTTTCTTCCTATTATTTCTCATAATTCGAGGCACAAACTTATAGCTGATAGATTTCAACATTCCTTAGAATCTACTTATCTTCATTTTCAAAAGGTTTTGTATGCCATTACATCATTATCGAAGCATTGGATTGTTCCTCCGTCATTTGATGAAACACCTCCAGAAATTTGAAATAACTCAAGATACTATCCGATATTCAAGGTAATTTTTTGTCATTAATTTTTAATTTTTAAATATTATCTATGTATTTATACATAAATTTTGTAGTTTGAATTTAACGATTTATTATAGAATTGCATAGGAGCTATTGTTGGAACTCATGTACCAGCATGTTTGCCACAAGATGATCAAATTCCCTATCGTGGAAAAGAAAAAAAAAAAAAGGCTACGATGAATGTAATGTGTGCTTGCTCATTTGACATGAAATTCACGTTTGTGATAGCTGGATGGGAGGATTCGGCAAATGATTCAAGATTTTTTTGGGAAACAATTACAAATGTAAAAGAGCCCAATTCAAGTTAACTATGCCTGAATTTCTTTCATTGTATCGTGGAGAACGATACCATTTGCATTATTATAGAGGAGCAACGAGCCCACAAGGTCTGGAGGAAATATTTTGTAATACCCTGTATTCTTGAAACGTATTTTCTAATTAATTAATTATTATTTTATAAAAAGGGTATTTTAGTAATTTATTTTACTATTTGAATTTTGGAGCCAAAATGATATTTGAATTTTGGTGGAAAAAGTATTTTAAAAATTAATTATTATTTTTGGATTTTGGATAAGATTTATTATCCATTTGTTTTATTTTAAAAACCGGATTATTTATATATATTTCGGATATTTTAAGTAAGCAAAATTATATTTTATTATTTAATTAGGAGGTCAAAAAATTCCTAATGATTGGCTATTAATTTCGGATTTTCCTAGTGTGCAAAATCTGATTTTCTTAGTTAATTTATTTAGTGAATAATTGGTATTCACTTAATTAATTATTTTATACAATATATATTATTTATACAATATTTTTAATTTCTTAAAACTAGAAAAATAATATCCTAAATTCTACATAAGGGGTCCGAAAATTTGAGCTATGGAAGCTCAAAATTTTCGGCCATCTTGGTTGATTTTTGGGTGATTTATTTTGGTAATTTGTATTTTTAATTATCTTCCTTAAATCTTTTATTTTTCCTTTATTCTTATTTCCCATCTCCTAAATATTTGATCATCTTATTTCCATAACTTATATCATCCTTAATTATTCCCCAAGCAAAGCCATTTGCCATATTATTTTTCATGACAATATACTTTCCATAAATTAATTATTTCTTAGTCACCTTAATATTAAACTTTCCATAATTCTTTAGCTCTCTTCTCCAAGTAATTTCCTTAATTCTTTTTACCATAATTCTTTCTACATTCTCCTACCATAATTCTTGCATGAACTAGCCTATAAATACCCCTTGAATAATAACTAAACACTCACACCAAATTCTCTAATTTCTCTCTAAGTCTCTTCTCTTCTTCTTGTTTCCTTGCGCCACCACCACCACAAATCACCACCTCCACCTCCACCGCCAGCTGCCACCTGCCGCCGACGCCGACCACCACCGCCTACCATAGCAGCCGGCAGCCACCAGCTGTCGCCCTTGCCGCCACCTCTCTCCTCTTTTTTCCTTGGTTTTCTACCTCTTCGTCTTCTCTTCTCTTAATTAATTATATTATATTATGGGGTTTTATAAAAATTGTAATGAGTATTTATAATTAAATAAATCAGTTTATTATTCAAGTTTATGAAAAATAATTAATAAGGTTCATGTACATATAGTTGGGGGGTTTTATTTTAATTGCTGTGATTATTTGTTAGCCTTATATTAATTAAGGTTATATTTATTTGTAGGGTGTGTTTGATAAAAGTTCTTGAAGTTCCTTTTTGTGTTGCTAGCAAGGATCAAAGGTACGTTTAGGTGACTAGATACCTTTGAAATTGATTGGATTGTTGTTGTCAAAAAAAAAAAAAGAAAAAGAAATTGATTGGATTGAATGAGCATGTTTTATATGATTTTTTATGATAATTGAATTAAATTGAATTGAATTATGATTTATGAAATAAAATCATGTTTAAAGAATTGATTTTGATAAATAAATTGAGGATTGATTTTATACCATGTTTTAAATGATTAAATTATTTATCATGTTTTAACAGGTTTGAGTTTGAAAGCATGTTGGAATTAAATAAAAAGGAGGTTTTAAATTGTTTTATTATAAAGATTGGAATTATTGAATTATTTATTAAAAGTTTTATAAGCATGAATATTATATTAATCCCATTATGCGGATTCATTGAAGACTATGGACTTTGTATGACCTAGTCTTTCCTCAAGGATAGCCTTTCAACATAAAGATACTAGCTTGGGGGGTGTGCACACTTTGAGAGGAATTGGGTTTTTGAAAAGAATTGATTTTTAATAATCACTATTATTGAATTATTGAGTATTGGAATTATATTTGAGTATATTGAGAATTGATTTTTAAATCATCAGTTTGGAATTATTGAATTAATTACTGGAATTGGTTTTAAAAGCATGTTTGCTAATAAAATTGAATTTACTTATCTTGCACTAATCGTACTTAGCATATTTTGTTAATTCGTATTTCCTATTTGTTTTGGTTCGCCTTGTTTACCTTAATGGTAAGCATTGTTGACTATTTTCAGGTGGAGTCAATAAGTGAGCATTTGGGTGTCCCGGGATGTTCTTCACCTAGTTTAGGAATGTTGGTCCTTGTTTCTATTTTGAGTACTCATAACATTGGTTACTATTTTTTATTAAAGTATCAATAAAGAAAGAGTTTGCATTTCCGCTGCGAAGTTGTAGTTTTAATTAGAAGTTTGAGTAGTCTTGCGTAATCACGCAGCGATAATACGCCTAAGTCTATCTCTACGGTATAATTATATGTATTATACTAGTATTTCCGTAGAGGGAGACTTGGGGGTGTTACATATTTAATTATACACATTCTTCATTGCGGAATGTTATTGAAAGATGTTTTGGGGTATTAAAAGCTAAATTTCCAATTCTCAGAGATATGTCTTCATATGACTTAAAACGACAAAAATATATAATATTGTCATGCTGTGTTATCCACAATTTCATAAAAATGTGCAAGGACGGAGATCCTTTGTTCATATAGTATGCAGATGAAAATATCAAACTTGAAGAAGAAGATGCAATCAACAACAATGGATCCGAGGACCTAGTGACTCCTTCTATAAGTTAACAAGAACTTCAAAGAATGGCTCAGTTTCGAGATAGTTTGGCAAAACGATTGTGGGAAAGACAAAATTCACAATGAAAGTTATCAACGAGAAATAACTATTACTTCATCTGTTCCACAAATATTGCAACAAGGATGAAATTACGCATCCCAAAGCACATTTTATATGTTAATTATCTATAATTATATAAGAGTAAAAATTATAAAAAGTTGATATTATGAAAGTATTTTACAAGACGAATCTAACAAGGCCCTACAAGACTATATTTTACTTTACGTATAAATCATAATTTGTGGTCAAACAAGCATGATGAATAGTGCAAAAGTCCAGTTGTTGCAATATTACTAGATGGAGGAAGTACATTGCATTTGAATATTTTATTGTTAATTTTTTTTTCCGTAGTTGTTCTTTTAAATTTTGTTATAACCCTATTCAATCAATAAATTTATTATTGAAATATGTATATTTTTCTTTTTGTGAAAATAAATAATCAGCTGTTAATTTTATTTTTTAAAAATAACAATAATAATAACAATAAATATATATATATATATATACATATATATATATATATATATATATATATATATATATATATATAGGTAGTATAAGAGTTGATTAAAGCTAGAATCTATAAATGATTTGGTAGTATGAGAATTGATTGTAAACTCAAAACTGAGAAATGGAAACAGTTTTTAAAAACAAAGAATAAATAATTAAAATCAGTTTTCAGTTTTGAAAAAACTGAAAACGACGCTAAACGAACCCTCAAATAGCAGTTTTATTAAAAAAAAATTAAAAAAGGAAAAATGTACATCAATAATCCCACCTTTTGAAAGTCTTCTCGAAATAGTCTCACCTTTTAAAAATTTGGGAATAATCCCACCTTTTACTACTATTTTCTCAAAATGATCCTTAAGTTAAGAGGGTGTTTGTTTAGGGGGATAAAAGGGGTGAGACAAGGATAAAAAATAGGGATAGACGAAATGTAGTATTTGTTTAGAGGGATGAAGATTAGAAGGGGGTTAGAGATAGGGATAAAAACGCCCACTTATCCCTCCATTTCTATAATTAAGGGGGTGGCATAAGGGGAAGAGATAAAAAATGGGTATTTAAAGACCAAATTACCCTTAATGAAATTGAAAGGATAAGGAAAAAGAGTAGAAGTTAGTAAGGGTATTTTAAAGACCAAATTACCCTTTCTTTCTACCCCGACCACCCGCCGCTGCCCTTAAACCACTCCGAAACAACCACCCCGACCATCAACCTAACCCAAAACTGACTACCCTCCCTTAAACCACCACGAAACAGGCTTAAACCTTTGAGAAAACTCAGATCGTATTTGATCAAATTCAACAAGCCCATTGTTGATATGGAATCATTTGATTAAGGGATTATCCAAAAGGATGATCCAATTAAAGCAATTTATATGTATATGAGAAACTATGGGTTAACTGGGAATAATTTGACTTTTATATGTGTTCTTAAGGCATGTGGTCGTATTTTAGATGTTTTGTAGGGTAAAAAGATTCATGTTTATGGATTAAAACTTGGGTTTGAATCACATTTGTTTGTGTTAAATGCTTTGATACATATGTATGGATAATGTGGGGAAATGGGTTTTGCACAGAAGGTGTTTGATGAAATGACGGAGAGAGATTTGTTTTTTATTTTTTATTTTTTATTTTATTTTTTTTTGAGGGAAGAGATTTGGTTACTTTGAACTCTTTGATTTGTGGGTATAGTTATTGCAATAACTATACAGAAGTTCTGGGTGTTTCCGATTCAATGCAGGTGGCGAGTGTGAGGGCGGATGCTGTGACAGTGGTGAAAGTTATCATTTTTTTTTTTTTTTTTTTTGAATTCAGTTTAATTGTTATTTTTGATAATGTAGTGGAAAAAAAAAATACCATTCTTTAGGTTGTAGGTCACTTAGAATTTTTTTGAAAAATAACTATTTTAAGAAGACTTGCAAAAGGTGAGATTATTCTCGTTAATCTTATCCCTAAATTCTCTTAAATTGGCAGGGAAGCAACTTGTATTTTTTCAATAGGAAGTAGAGTGAAGCAAACAATCTTTCACCCAAAAAAAGCAAGAATGGCAACGACTCTTGCTAAACTCAGAGCCGGCGTTCAGTCCGCCATCCGTGGCGCCCGTTCCTCCAATCTCGTCAAACGCTCCTTATCTTTTTCCGCCCACAACGACGTTGCGCGTAACTTTCTCTCTTCCCTGCCTTTTACAGATTTCACCTTCAAATTCGCCATTTTTTGCTTTGTTTTGAATACCAAATTCTGATATTTATACATTTAAATCGCAATTTTTTTCATTTCAATTATTTAATTTATCAACTCTGGTTTAATTTTTCTTTAGACTTACTAGCTTAAGCATTTTAGTTTTATAATCAATAGAATTGGGGTTTCAATTAATTTCGTTTGTATAATATCTATTTCCTGGGGAAAAAAAAATTGTGTTGATCAATTTTGTTTTATTTTTAATTTTTTTGAATAAGAGGCTAACTAGGCATTGAAATGGGAGAAAATTACTTACCTTGGAATAATTAGTTGCACAATCATGGCAATGACTTTGTCTTCTAAGATTTTAGTTAACTTTTGAACTGTGGTGACCTTAGTTTTTTTTAGCTTGACTTTCGAGAAGCCAAATTTCTGTTAGACTGGATTTCACTAATGTATCCTTTGATTGACTGAAAAAATTGTGTGAGCTAATTTGATTTAAAAAATAAAATAATGTACTTTGTAATAAAAATACAACCATCTTACATAAGGTGCCTAAAGCAGTCCCTTTACAGTCCATTTGCAGAGAATTATACGCCTTTTTTAGGCTGTTGGGGAAATAATTTGAGGTTTAAGGGAAGGACGAGGGTGGACAACAGATGGTTTCTTGGGAACTACCTGAAACTTTTCTGTGGCAAGGCTAATTCATCTAAAATGTTGCAACCTCAACCACCAGTTTTCCATCACTATATCATAGCATATCTCTAGCAATTGAATTTGATTTGATGAGGTTGTTAAAATATTTATAAAAACTCTGGTGTAAATGTTTAAGCTTAGTAAGGTTTGGAACCTGGTGTAAATATTTCTAGTCAACCTGGTTTCCAATATATTGATAGTTGGGTATTTATGTGGCTACATTTGTTTAGCTTTTTTTTATGTATGCATAAAGCTGAGTAGGGCTTTCCGGCTTTGCATTCTATATATATATAGTAGAAGAGGTGACTAGTATGCTTCTATGAGTTCTATTTCCTTTAGCTTACAATAGGTTTGCATTGGTGTTGTAGGTGATTGAACATGGCTCTAGGTAAACACTTTGCTTTTTTAAAAAAATGGAAGGTGCAATTGAACTTTATAACCTTACCATTATTTTGTAGTCGATTTTTGGTTATTGTTTTTAAAATTTTTATTTAAAATTTGGGTTTTTCAACTTCATTTATGCACTACCCACGCTGCAATTTTTTTTTTTTTTTGGTATGTGAAAGTGTCCTTGATAAAAAAAAGAAGCATTTTGAATGGGGTAAAATAATTTGCGATGATAGTTTAAGAAAGTTGATAGGAATGATTTAAGAAGTATACGGTATACCTAAAGAATATGAGCAGCAAAATGTAAGAATGGGATAAGCTTAAGATTAAATGAAATTTTGGAAAAAAAAAACAAGAGATCTTAGGATTAGTTATAATTCGTTTACTTTGATTTATGAGTAAAATATTATAATATTCTTGGTTAAAATTGATCTACGTATATCTTATGCTCTGGATTATGGATTAATTATAAGTTGTTTCCTTTATGCATGTTTGTGTGAAGGTTCATCTATGGATACCAATTCGGTAAGGTTCTTCAAGCTCAATTTTTGGATAATTATGATTGTTTGATATATTTTTAGATAATTATTACTCAAATTCAACTATAAGATAAATTTACAATCATAAATTACATGAGTTATAATAAATTCTCATAGTAATAGTTATAACTTATAAGTTTGCTCTTAAATTCTTTGATATTTATCTAGAATTTTTCTAAATTACTTTTTTTACTACCCTTATGGTAATGAGAAGGTTTACTCACTGCCTTTTGTTATTAAAAAAAAAAAAACTTCTTTATATTCAACTTACTAAAACGAGTGCAAAGATGAAAATTTTATCATACACCCCCCCGTCAAAATACAAGAGTTATAAAAATACGGAAAGAACATTGTGTACAACTACAAAGTACACGAGCAAAAAAAAAAAAAATCAAAATGATTCTCTCCTTGATTGAAGGGATTGATTTGTTATTTATATCCTTTGATTTATGGAATTGATTTATTATTTACATTCTATATTACTTTTGATAAACAAAATTTCATTTTTTATTAAGAGAGAGAAATTGAGTTTATATAGAGAGAAATAATGGTAAGATTTGAATTTCGAAGTGATTTAATGTTATTATAGAGTTGATTATATCGTTTTGATGAATCTTTTAATTGAAAGATGTAATTGACGAATTCGTTGTCGAGAGAAAAGGCATTTTTCAAAAAAAAATTATCTACTTCTCTATTTTGGTGTTGTTTCCTAAGGTGGAAGATGATGCTCTTTATATTCTTAATAAATGTTCTTTTATCATTTTTTAATTGGAATGAAATATGTTTCTAGAGTTTAATCAATATGTTCTTTGAGTCTAAACTATATGTTCTTACGTTACAAAATATGTTGTTCTTTAATATATATAAATTAATCATGTTCTTTAGGTATCAATAATGCAAATTATGTTCTTTTTACTTGAATAGTATGTTCTTAAATTTTGAATTTTGAAATTTAAAAATGAAATTTTGAATTATATTTGTGTGAAAATAATTGTAAATAGAAGAATTCTTGATATATGAATATTTTGAAATGATTTGACATTAAATTTTTGGTAAAAATCAAATAATAATTATCTTTTACCTTTTTTAAAAAACTGTTCTCAGAAATTACTGTGTTCTTTATATTTCAGTGATATGTTCCTTCATAAATTCATGATGTTCTTTATAATTATGTACTATGTTCTTTCCGCTTTGATTCGGGTGTACATGCGTATGGTACACCCGGGTGTACGAACCACCAATTGGTGCAAAGAGAAGCTTTTAATTGGGAATGGAGGGGGTAATATACTAATGTTTGATTTCAAAATAACTGGCATGGAGGATGAATAACTGAATACAAACAATGTTAATGTTATCTAGTTGTCACATTGTTCTCTATCAAGATCTAAACGACTCCAAGATATGTTACCTACATAATGCAGCTCAATTTCACAGGCTAGATGAGATTTTATTATAGTGTGGGTGCTTAAATAATATGGTGCTGTATCTGAAGATTATTTATGAAGTTTAGGAGATGTGAGAAGCTTTTTTCTTTTAATTTAATGAGTGCAATAGCTTTCTTTCGTCTTTATATATTTTCTTACAAATGTACATCTTAGACACAATTTCTGGTAGAATATCAATTTGACTGTGATTATCTGTATGTTGTATAGGATGTTGGTTTCATTGGAATGGGAAATATGGGATCGCACATGGCTATGAACCTTTTCACATCAGGATTCAGGGTTTCTGTCCATGACATGTAAGTGTCTGTGATTGTGTGTTCTGTGTTTTCCTTCATGGCTGTGTGAAGTGTTGCTCAAAACTTGCAATCATAGATTGGGCATGACAACATGACCTAAACGGGATATGAAGTGGCTGGGAGATCCTGTAAACCTCACACAGCATTAGCACAAATCAAATTAAGCCAGAAATAATTGATCCATTCATTATAATACCTCCGTTTCATATTATTTGCAAATTTGGTGTATTATTTGTAAGATATAAAAAAATTCCAAAGTTGCAAATAATGTGAAACGGAGGTCCTATTATACATTTTTAATTACCTTCTGTTTCATACATCAACACGATATAATATACACCAAACACAACCTCTTACCTCAATTGCTGGCTCTAACTTTGTCACTATCTTTGTTTCATGTAATAAAAGAAAACTTCCTTTTGATGTGCTAGTAAATACCTCCACTTTATAAATAAATTGATCTACAGGATAGAGTTATTGTTACTAGAATGGTTGACTTATATTTCTGGATAAGAGTGTTTTATGTTATATAGTTATATAGTTAAGTATTGTAACTATCAATTTGAGGCACCTTGTTGAATACTGTATGTAAAGAACCAAACTTATAGAGATACATATTATGTTGATATCTGTACTTATTTTGTTAGCATTCTTGTCTTTAGCAATCGAGCTGCAGTTCAGCCATTCTTGGATAGGGGAGTTCCTGTGAAGGAAACACCTATGGAAATTGCAGAAGCAAGTGATGTTGTAATTACGATGCTTCCTTCATCCGCTCATGTGAGTGACTACTCTGACTAGTGTGGGACGTGTTAGTATGAGTGTTTTTTTTCTTATCTAATACAATTTTTTCTGGTGAACAAGTAGGGATTATTTAATACTAGGCTTAAGGTAGTTGCTAATGACTATAAATTATACTATTAGAGTCTACATGATTCTTTATTTTTTCGCTAGAATGACACTTCAAACTGCTCTTCCCATCTCAATTTTCAAAGGTTGTTTGTGTTGCTCTCGCTGCTTCCACGAAAACTGCTTTTCTTTCTTTTCCTGTGGCTTCTAAGATATTTTTTCTTTAGTTTTTTTTTTTGGTGGAGGCCAAACTTGATAGGAACTTTCTACTTGAGGGTTCCCTCAACAGTTAGGTGCTAGTTCACGGTTAGAATTTTAGTTCAACCTGAGTGGCAGAGAGCTATATCACATGATCAAATCTTACTAAATTATTGTTCACAATTTAATCACTATTAGAGTATTAGTAAAGGATCCATTTAAATTAAGGAATCTTTCCTGATTGCTATTTTGTGATATACTCTTTTGTATGGCCAGATCCATATTTAAAAACAATTGGATGAAGAAAAAAAAAAAAATCTAAAAATGAAATTTTTTGTTACTTTGACCATTCTGACATGTATGCCCCAATACTCAAGTATGCATACCTTAGGATCACACTTGGAAAGTGTGGAAGTCATAGAATAAAGTTGTGAAAGTTATTTTAGTCGTATAAAGTCATAGAGAAGGATCCTTATAATATCAGTGTTAAAAGGGACAAGTCTGACCCACGAATCGTGAATGTGGTTCATTCGTTCCGGAGCGCGGAACAAACGTGACTCTGATTGCTGGAGGTTGTGGCCTGAATTGTGGAAATGATGACCTAATTTCAAAGTTTAAGTTTATGTTTTTGTGATTTCAGAGCTTTTAAGTTTTAATGGTCCAAAAATGGTGGAGAAGGGAACATTGAAAACTGGTCAAGCCGTTCAACATTCTAGAGGAGTGAGATATAAGAAAATTGAATAAGAATAATTTTTTGGGCTTAAATTTTGGACCCCAACATGCTATCATCTTCCCCTTTTTAATAATTATTTGGACCCACATTCTGATATCTGCCTTTTGTTTATTAATGTACTCTTTTTATTATACAATAAATAGGAGATTTTTTTTTTTTTTTTTTTTTTTTTTTTTCCCAATCATTAGATTAGATATTGCATCTTTTATTATACTTAGTTACTTCGTATATACTTGTTTATATATTGATAGGCTATTATACATTAATTTAATTTTAGTTACTTCAATGACAATATGGGAGTATTATTGAGAGAAATTAAATCCAATGTATTAGATTTAACAAGGTAGTGTTCCGCGTATCTGTTTTTGTACTGCGTTTTGAATTGAACCCTGTCCAATGTAACCTTGGTTTATATTAATCCATATACTTACTTAGAAGACAGAACAATTTCCTTGTTAATTATCTTGTTGATTTCAAAGATATTTGATGTATTTTTTCATCGCAGTCATTCTTCTACAAAATACTATGAATAATTTCTAATTGAAGTGTTGATTTAATGCTGGAGCCGAAGTTACTTTTTTGACAATGGATTTATGTAGCAATGTAGTTAATCCTCACTTGAACGTCCCTTCTTTTAGAGCACTTTATTGCAGTATTCTTTCAAAAATTTCTTAAAATATAATTCTGGACATAGCCTTTAAAGTGTTGTCACTTAGAATAATACTGTGTCCAAACAATGTATGTCATCTGTATTTTTATTATCTATTTTCATGAAATGAGTCAAGAATCAAGGTATCATGAAAGAACAGAGTAATTTGTCCTTAAAGACACATACCAAATGAAACAAAGAGTGAGGATACCTTCTATTAAAACCTCCCAAAGCATGGCCCCAACCTTATCATCATTTTTAGCATTGCTGCTAATTTCATTGCCATATATATTCAAAAATATCTGAGGTGTGGAAACTTTTGCTTTCCACAAAAACTGCTGCTAGCTTGCCAAATGTAGCATGCCAATGCAACCAAGCCAAGCATTTTAAGTTTGCAGAGAAACTTGTTCATCATCTCCTTGTATATGTTTTGCGAAAGCTGAGACAAATTGTGCCTTCCTCGGTCTGAAGGAGCAACAGAATATTTCCAATTCAAATCAGGGAGTAAGTGAGGGTAAATCTCAAGGCGTTAGCCAAAGGAAATGTGCACATCGTTTTCCGCATACCCAAATAAGATATTAATTTATCTCACCTGTATGATGGGTTGAATGGCTTACCATTAATGCTTATATCATTTTTGAAAGCGTCATCACAATTTGAGAAAGATTTGAATTTGTTTTCATTTTTATAAGTCAACACATCTGTGTTCGAGCTAATCATGACTCTGATTTCACTAACTTTTTGACGCCATAAATTCCTTCGTGCTCTAAATTGTAGCAAGGTTTTTGTTTTTCCCAATCTCCAACTTTTTTGTGTCCAAATAATCTTTATGTGCATACATTGGGAAATTTATCAAAGTTATTCTATGCCTTGTTCAGGTTATGGATGTTTATACGGGGCCAAATGGCTTGCTTCACAGTAGCAGTTCCCTACGACCTTGGTTATTTATTGATACCTCTACAATTGATCCGTTGACGTCAAGAAAACTCTCCCTGTCTGTTTCTGGCTGTGCCTTGAAAAAAAAGCTAGGTACTTAAAGTTAAATTGCTATATAATTCTTAAAAACCATTTTGTATAAACTTGTGTCGATATACAGGGTTTTGATGACTTAATGAAGGTAACATTCAGGTCTTAGGATTTTGGTCGATCTGTTTTGTTTCTTAGTTATCTTCTATAACTCATACATCTTCAGTCTTGCGTTTCTTCCCTGAACTCTTTATTCTCCTATTTTCTCTTTGGGGTGAACCATCAAAAGAGAGGGGGTGGGGGGTGGGGGAATGTCTGACTTTCAGAATATTCTGTAGTTTTTTTTTTTTCCTTTTCAAATATCAAGGATAAAAGCGTTCCTCCTTTATTTTCATTCTCTTATAGTCACTTAACTTATAGCTTTTCTATTCCTCCTTCATTTAAGAGGTAGAAGCTCTAAAGTAGGTGCAGACTATTTTGTATGTCTCTTTTTTTTTTTTGGAGAAGATCCATATGCGTGACTTGTGAGCTATGCACAAAATAGGAAACACACATAGTATATAAATAGTAAAACACGGGAACATTAATTAAAAGTATAAAAGATGTTAATAAAACCGTTTTTGATTGTAATTGTAGAAAAACAAAATGTTTCTCTTACATTTTCATCATACAGGGCTCTTTTCACTCACCCCTTACCTTCCTTTGGCATTATACATAACTTAAGGTAGCTGCAGCAAAGCACTAAGCTATACTTAGTTTGTCAGTGTCATTGTATCATCCTATTACTGTATGTAATACTATCTTTTTCATGTTTTGTTTTTATCTTTATATTGTGCTCTAAGTTATCAGATTTTTTTTTTTTTCCTTGAGAGACACCTAATGCTTCTCTCCCATCCATTGTTAATCCATTGATGACAAGAGCTGATAAACCACTAAAAAATTAAAATCTCCCTCTCTTTTATTGTCAAAAGCTCCAAGGTTTCATTTTTATTCCTCTCTAATTAAAGTATCAGTTTATGCTGGAACCACACCACACTCCTGTCGAAACATCTTCCTAAAGAGTATTTTGTTTCCAATTTTCCATCCCTTAATTAAACCTCAGGTAGGGCGTAATTAATGGTGAGACTTCTGAACATTCACGAAGAATGCCCAAAAAACTCCGATGCTATTTCTCCTTTTGATAATCAGAGAAGCTTCTAACAGAAGCTTCTATTCATCAGGTTCTGGAAAGTTCTTTGTACAGCTCAGCTTTAGATATTTATGGATCCTTGTCCTAGCTGGCATAGTTTGTTAGAATCTGTAACTAACTATATATATACAATTTCTGTTGTAAGCTTTCCCAGATTTTCCTGAGAATAAAAATTCCCAAATTAACTTTACCTTTTCTCTCCATTTTTCCTCTGATTCTAGTTTACCAGAATCAGTTTACACCTTTTGACTACCAATCAAAGCGGCATGGTAGATACATGTAATGATAATGATTAAACTCAAACAAATAATTTCTGAATGTAACAATATTTGTTTATTATTGATCTCCATCATGTCTGCATGAATATGGTGTATTCTTGTATTGAAGTTGCTTTTATCTAACTATAACCTTAGGAAAATTTAACTTTATCATTGGCTATCTTGGCATGCTTCCATAGTTCCATGCGATAGTTTCCTCATATATTGCTGCCCTTGATTTTTTGCAGAAGTAGAGATCTCACTGTTCATTGTTGAAATTCTTTTTATGTAGTTTGTAATAAAGTGTGTTTTTTATTTAAAGGAAGTAAGTTCAGATGATCTAAAGTTGTACTTTGTTGGGTCAATTAGGCTTTTGGACTTTTGTTGCTCTATGTAGTGTTCTCAGAGTGATACTAATTCCTTTCATTTTCTCCAAATTATTTTGGAATAAAATGATATGTTCTGCCTGACTAATGTATTATGTGATTACGCAGAAAAGCTTAGCTTATTTTATATGTAGGCAATAAAAAAGTTGAGCTTATGGTCAAAAACTATAAACTCCGGATAAATTTATTCAATTTGGTGTAAGATGTTTCCAATCTTTATAAGTGGCTTAATTTTCCGTATTACTTCTGTTTGGATGTTTGTACTTCTGTGTTCTTACTTGTGTCCGGTTGTCGTAATTCCTTCAAATTATTGTAGGTTGCCAGGAGAAGCCATATATGTTAGATGCTCCTGTTTCTGGTGGTATACTTGCTGCAGAAGCTGGATCATTGACCTTCATGGTAAATTTATTTCCTACCAACAATGCTTCATTTGCTATGGGTGCTGCTGAAAATCTTGGTAAAGGAGCTTTAATGGCCTCATGATTTGGGCCTTACTTTTGGTCCTTGAATAGTTGAATCTCTTTTAATTTCCTGGACTTGAGAACATGATCTTGTTTACTGTCCAATGTTGTTCAATTTGCTATCTGGTAAAGGTTTTGGTTATTAATTCATGTGGCATCATTTCTTCCCTGTGTGGTCTATCCTTACTACCAGCTAAGGCTTATGTTCTTGTGTAGGGATTCAGGATTGGAAAATGATGTGTTTGTTTCCCTTCTCCAGCTTAAGGAGTTAAGGCAGTGATTAGGGTTGTTTTTCTTTTGAACAATATGTATAATAGAAGCCTGATGGCACAAAAACTTACTTTCAACATATAGCAATAGAAGACAAGATTAAATCAATCATATATACAAGTAGTAAACATGGAGCTTGAATATCACGCTGATCTACAATTAGATCCTGCTGAAAAACTTCTTGCATGCATATTGATAAGTAATAAAAACAGTATAAAAAAAAAAGCTAGAAAAGGATTAAGTTTGAACTGTTAATTAAGGTTTTCATCTTGATCACATTATAGGTGCATGTTTGGTATGAATTCTGCAAAGGAAATAGTGAGGGGTAGGGCAATGTTATTTGCTACCAATATTAGCTGTTTGATACAATTAAGGAAAGAAATTTCTTGTATCATATTGGTGATTGATGAGGCTAGCGATGTGTGGTTGGTAATGGTTGCCCTTGGTATCAAAGTGTGTTACCCTGCCTCTTACACCATTTCCATCACTTATAACACTATACCAAAAATGCTCTACGTCACAGTTCTATTTCCTTTTCGTCATAATTTATTTTAGCAGCTTCAGCGATTGGTTCATTCTACTCACAACCTTTAAAAAGCTTTCATTTTCTTGGTTAACTTGTTAATAATTTTTTCTTTCATTATATTGACGAAGTATCAAAAATGGATTCAGGTAGGAGGCACTCAGGAAGCCTACCTGGCAGCAGAACCATTGTTTCATTCCATGGGCAGAGCCTCAATCTATTGTGGTGGAGCAGGAAATGGTTCGGTAGGTTCTTCCTTTTATGAGCTCTGTTAAAAATGAAAGATCTTCCTTCATTCTCTAAAATTAACAAGCTATTTTTTAGTTATTACTATTGATTTCACTTTAATAATCATTCAAAATTTAAGTAAACTATAAACGGTGTTTATGTAATTAATATTGCTATAAAAGTATTGTAAAATCATAAGCATCAAATAATATCAACAATAATAAAATCATATATTATTTAATTTATTTTTCTTTTTATATATTATATTATGCACAATTAGCACTATCTCCTAATAGTGGTATCAGAGCTTGTTCGTTCAAGAAGGCTCTAACACGATTTCCGCAAACTTAGAAATATTTCATCACAACAAAAAAAAAAAAAACAAAACCAAAAAAAAAATAAGTAAAAAAAAAAAATGGCATTTTCAAGCACAAATCAACAAGTTGTTCCACTATTCAACGGTGATAATTAAGATATTGGAGCATTCGGATGAAGGCTGTATTACGGGCCTTTGGCATTTGGGAAGTTGTTGAAACTGGCATACCGACAACACAACAAACTGAAGGTCAACTAGCTTCAGGAGATATTGATTGGCAAAAGAAAGATGCAGAAGCATTAGCCAAAATTCATCTTGCTACCACATACTCGATATTGCCCGAATAATAAATGCTACCTCAGCAAAACAAGCATGAGATACCTTGAAAAATGAGTTTCTAAGGAACAGAAAAAAAGAAGGTTGTCAAACTACAATCGCTTCAACTTGAGATTGATCATTTAAAAATGGGAAAAGATGAAAGTATAAAAGATTATTCTTCTAGAGTTATAGAACTCGTTAATCAATTAAAAGCCATGGGTGAAAGTATAACGGATCAACGAGTGGTGCAGAAAATGTTATTAACCTTCTCAAAAAGGTACAATACAGTCGCTTAAATAATTGAAAGCAAAAGATCTCACTACATTATCCCTTGTGGACTTTCTTGGTTCTCTACAAATTCATGAACAAAGAATGATTATTAGGGATAATGAAACAACATCTACAGATGGCGAAAGAGCTTTTCAATCAAGACACAGACCCTCTTCTTCCTCTTCTTCAAAACCTCAAAATTCAAGAGGAAATTTCAAGCAAAATAATTCATACAACAAAAAGGAGAGAGATCGAAAAGGTAAATTTCCTCCTTGCAAAATTTGCAAAATACAAATCATGAAGAAAAGAATTGTTGGCATTAGGGAAAACCATAATGCAACTATTGCAAGAAATTTGGTCATATTGAGAAAGAATGCAGTTTTAAAAAACAAGTAAGTGTTTCAGAGACAATAGATGATGAAGAAGGATACCTATTCTATGCTAATCAAAATAATAACAATAAAAGAGATGATTTGCTTATCGATAGTGGATGCACAAATCATATGATCAAGCGGTCTTATGTTTTCACCAACATTGACACATCTGGATAAATCCCTATCAAAATAGGTAATGGAGCAATAGTGACATCTGAAGGTAAAGGTACTATTGCTGTTGAAACAAAACTAGGCACAAAGCTGATTAATGATGTTCTTTATGTCCCTAGTTTAAATTAGAATTTGCTTAGTGTTCCTGAGATGATCCAGAATGGATATTCCGTTCACTTTAAGGATGAATCATGTGCAATATTGGATCCACAAAGAAATCAAGTTGCAAATGTCAAAATGCAACAAAAATGTTTTTATTTAAATTGGCAATATGCAGGAAAAGAAAAGGTAATGCAAGCTCAAGGAGATGAAGTTACATGGCTATGGCACAAGCGTTTTGGTCATAGTAATTTCCAAAATCTAAAACTTCTTTTGCAGAAAAATATGGTGAAAGATATACCAATTATCTCAAATATGATTGGTGTGTGCAATGGTTGTCAGGTAGGAAAAATGACAAGGCAACCGTTTCCAAAGGGACTAGCGAGAAGAGCGATTAAGAAATTGGAACTCGTACATACAGATGTATGTGGTCCAATGAAAACTCTTTCTCTCGATGATAGCAAATATTTCACCTTATTCATTGATGATTTTTCTCGAATGACATGGGTATACTTCATGAAAGATCGTTCTAAAGTTTTCAAAATATTCAATAAATTTAAGAATTATGTTGAAAAAGAATGTTCATCACAAATAATAAATCTTAGAAGCGATAATGGGAAAGAATATACCTCATTAGAGTTCAACAAATTTTGTGATGAGGAAGGTATACATCATCAACTTACTGTTCCATATACACCGCAACAACATGGTGTAACTGAAAGAAAGAATAGAACTGTAATGGAGATGGCAAGATCAATGCTCTAAGGATAAGGGAATGCTTAACAAGTTCGGGGCAGAAGCAGTTTATACTTCCGTAATATCTTCAAAATCGACTCTCAACAAAAGCAATAGAAGGTCAACCACCAATTGAAGCATGGACGGGATATAAACCATCTGAAAGTCATTTAAAAGTGTTTGGATGTGTATGTTATACTCATGTACTTCAGCAAAAATGTCATAAACTTGATGATAAAGTTGAAAAAGGAATTTTCCTAGCCTATAGCTCTCAATCTAAAGGATGGGTATAGAATCCATATACTCATAAAGTTCAAGTTGGTAGAGATGTAGTTTTTGATGAAAATGCATCATGGAATTGGGAACAAAATGACATTGACAAAAGGTATGTTATGACACCAACATTTCATCAAGAGCGTCCTACACCACCAATATCAACTCTAAGTGATCGAACCGGCAACATTCGCAGGAGCGCAGGAGGAGATTGATAATAATACAAATGAATCTGATAGATACGACTATGATAGCTCTACAAAAATTACCTCCTAGAAGAACTCGAAGAAAGAATTCCGGATCTTGATTTGGAACAATGTGAACTTTGTTGTCAAGCTACGCATGAACCAGTTACTATGAGCAAGCCTCTCAATATGAAGAATGGAGAGCTGCTATGGAAGAAGAAATTTGCATGATTGTGAAAAACCAAACATGGGAATTACAAGACAAGCCACCTAACAAAGATGTCATTGGTGTAAAGTGGATATTCAAGACAACTTAATCTAGATGGTTTGATTCAAAAGCACAAAGCCACACTGGTAGCAAAAGGTTATTCACAACAATTTGGCATCGATTATAATGAGGCATTTGCCCCTGTATCAAGGCAAGATACGGTTAGGGTAATTCTTGCTCTAGTTGCACAACAAAGATGGAAAATTTATCAACTCGATGTTAAATCTGCCTTTCTAAACGGATTTCTACAAGAAGAGATCTATATTGAACAACCTCTTGGTTTTGTTGTGAAAGGAAAAGAAGATAAAGTATTAAGACTAAAGAAAGCTCTAAATGGGCTCAAACAAGCTCCACGAGCTTGGTATAGTCGAATTGATGGTTACTTTATCAAAAAAGGATTCAAGAGGAGTCCAAATGAAGCAACCTTCTATATCAAGAAAGATGAGTTACATATTATCATCTTATCTTTTTATGTTGATGACCTAATCATTTCAGGGAACAATCTTTCTATGATAGAATCATTTAAGCAAGATTTGATGAGTCAATTTGAAATGACTGATCTTGGCTTAATGAATTATTTTCTTGGTATGGAGATTAAGCAAACAGAAGAAGGGATCATCATAAGTCAAAAGAAATATGCACAGAATATCTTAAGAAAATTTAAGATGGAAAATAGCAAGCCAGTATCCACTGCTTTAGCTCAAAATGAAAAGTCGAGCAAAGAAGATAATTCAGAAGATGCTGATGTTAAACAATATAGAAGCATAATTGGGAGCTTATTGTATCTAACTGCTAGACCTGATATGATGTATGCTGTGAGCATGTTGGCAAGGTTTATGCAGAAACCAAGCCAAATACACCTACAAGCAATTAAGAGAGTTCTTCATTATCTAAAGGGAACCTCAGAATATGGAATATGGTACAAACCTATTAAAAATTCAGAACTAATTGGATATTCGGATAGTGATTGGGCTAGATCTATTGATGATATGAAAAGTACATCGGGATACGTATTTTCACTAGGAAATGGCGTTTTTTCTTGGCTAAGTCAAAAGCTAGATACTGTGGCCCAATCAACTGCATAAGCCGAGTATATTGCAGTATGTGCAGCAGCAAATCAAGCAATATGGCTTAGAAGAATCTTAGCAGAAATGGGTGAAGTTCAGAAACAACCCACAAAAATATTTTTGTGATAGTAACTCTGCTATTTCTATTGTTATTGCTAAGAATCCAGTACTACATCGAAAGACTAAACGTATAAAAATAAAATATCACTTTGTCCATGAAGTTGAAAGTGCAGGAAAGAGCGGCCTTGTTCATTGTACAACTGAAGAACAAATTGCTGACATATTATTTACAAAAGCACTTCCAAAATCAAGTTACGATCGGTTAAGGGAAAAACTTGGCATTCAAAGGAAGTTCTTCAAGGAGGAGTGTTAAAAATGAAAGATCTTCCTTCATTCTCTACAATTAACAAGCTATTTTTAGTTATTACTATATTGCTATTGATTTCACTTTAATAATCATTCAAAATTTAAGTAAACTATTAACGGTGTTTATGTAATTAATATTGCTATACAAGCATTGTAAAATCATAAGAATCACATAATATCAACAATAATAAAATCATATATTATTTAATTTATTTTTCTTTTTATATATTATATTATGCACAATTAGCACTATATCCTAACAAGCTCTTATTAGTCTATTTTTTATTGGCATAGTGTCTCCTCCTCTTCTTTGGAGTATCTCTTTGATCTTCGTTATGCTAATATATAGGGATTAAACAATTATTGTGTGAATGTGGTGTTTAGATTGTGACGTATATTGTTTTAAATTTGTGACAAAACAAATTATTTTGGAATAAACCATTTTAAATAACTATATTTTACATGCTAGAGTAATCTTTCACTGATCAGTTGCTCACTTTTTGTTTTCACGTCTTCCACAAGTAATTATGAGACTGATATGAATGATGATGCATGATGGGGGATAGCACCATAGTTAGAACTGTCTTTGGTGATTTTATCTATCATTCTGATTTCATTTAATTATTTATTTATTTATTTTTTTATACAGAAACTTATTTGTATCCTTTTTAAATTAAACTTTTTTTTTTGCAAACTCTATTTTGGATGATTGTACATGCCTTATACTCTATTTTGGATGATTGTACTTGCCTTATACTCACTATTTGGATGATTTTAAATCCAAAATTATTTGACAAAATTCTGGGGTGTTACACTGTAATGTAATGCACCAGCTTCCTCCACTTAATTCACATGTGAGAATGATATATATGCCAGGCGTAAGAAATTTTTTTAGATTGCAGCAAAAAGTGTCAGCAAAATTTATTCGGGAAGGGTGCCTTGGGCAAGGAGTGAGGAATTACATTTATGTGAGGGGAGTATTCTGAATTGTCTGAGCTGGTCCTATAAAGAGGAGGTTGTAGGTGAATGTAATATTGACTATTAAGTGTTCTGTATTTTCATTCTCTCTCTACATAATTTGTATTCACCATTGGTAATTTCATAACATCAGTTAATACATCTATTGGTTCCCACTATAGCATTACTCTTTGTCGGCTTAAATCAGTGTTAATACACAATAAAAATAAAAAAATATTAATCCCATTTCATAATAGTACTTTCTCTTGGATGCATATAGGTTGCAAAGATATGCAATAACCTCGCAATGGCTATTAGCATGATTGGAGTTTCAGAAGCCCTTGCCATTGGTCAGTCTCAGGGAATTGCTGCAAGTACTCTGTCGAGTATATTCAACTGTTCAAGTGCTCGTTGCTGGAGCAGGTATTAAATCTTTTTGAATGTGTATTGGTATCAGCTACTAACAAGTATAGGTCTATTATAAATATCTCTTGATTGTTTGTGTTGTATCTTCTTTGTTATTTTTCAATTGCAGGAAGATAAATAACCAATATAGAATTTTTCCAATTGATGTCTAAAAGAATTAACAATTATTGTATTTCTTGTTACTGCATTGTGTAAAAGTGAAACCCTCAACTTCAGACATACCACTATTATATTTATTTATTTCCCAATCACCTGAGCAGTGAGCACTACAATGACTAGAAAAATTGCTGTCTGAATCCTTCATCTTATGTCAATGGACTGATGCTTCAGAATTTTGTTAGTGCGAAGTAATTCAGAGGTAGACTTGCATGCGAACTACTGAAGTTTTCTGCACGTCCCGGTGGGAAACTGTTTTGATTGGTGATTGAAAAAGGTGTGTTCTGAAAGATAAAAAATATCATTTCGTTTCCGGTTGTGGCACAGATTGTCACTTGTGTCTGTCTAGGCAGAAATTTCCACACGCTTCAAGAAAAAAAAAAAAAAAAAGGCCCGCATATCATTGAATTGCCACATTAAATCCAGTTGAAGGATGTCCCTCCAACATTCCTAGTCCTTAGCTGATTGCAGTGTCATAATTCCCGAATCAAATCCAGATTGAAGAATGCCCCTCCAACATTCCTAGTCCTTAGCTAATTGCAGTGTCATAATGCCAACTTGTTGTTTTTTACATCCTGGGTCTGCCTTCTCTCAAGGTTTCCATAGCCAGCAGGCCAGCACTCTCTCACCCATATCCTCCACTGCGCCGTAGTGTTTAAATCCAGCCTAGGGATAGCCGTTTGGAGATGTGAGAGCTACCAATAAATTCTTCCTTGATCCTCGTGCTTAATTAATAACTGTGTAGGGGCCATTTGGTTTGGATTTTTCATGAAAGGGGAAAAAAATTGTCCCCTTCCTTAATCCATAGTTAATTCTTTCAATTCTTCAACTCCCTCTGGACTCTTCAGCATTCACATATTAAATAGTGCACATGAGGGTACCATTTGCTTGGAGCTCTCGCCTCAAAACTGTTTTTTTTGTTTGAATAATATAGGATTTAGTGAACATAAAGCCTAGGAAGCCTATGTTATGTATAACAATCACTCATTTATTCATTTGGGTATGCATTTGGGATTCTAAGGCAAAAGAAGATCTAATACTAATTTTGTGTGTTAAACACCATATAATTTGTGACCATGATGTGATTCCTTTAAGTAAAAAACGAGGACTCTCTACCTTGACAACAAGAACACAAGCTTCATCGAAAGAAAAGGGTGGTTGGAAATCTGAAATGTATGTTGATCATATTTTGTTCTTTCTCATCTGTACAACCATAAGCCATGTATAATCTTTCAAATCCCCCAATGTTATCTTTGTTAGACTTAGACAGGCTATCTATTTGCATGAAATAAAATCTATGAACAATTCTTGTTTATTAGTTTGTGGAACAATCTATTTTGCAATAATTTCTTAATTCAGTACAAGGCATAATCCTATCTTTATTTTTTCTCTCTCTCTCTTTTCCTTAGACAATCGCTCATGCCAGTAAGATGCTTACCTTGACAACTTTTAAACAACATAGGTATAAATTATAATCAAGTAACTTTTGCCTAAACCAATCCAAACCGAACTCTAGATCTAAGTTTCTATCGAATTCAGGTAGATCCATGACTCAATCTCTCTCTCTCTCTCTTTTTCTTTCTTAAATTCTCATTAACTAGTGGCCATAATTTTCGACTTTCCAACTTCTCTTTCTGTGCTTTGCATGGTTTATGAGAAAATTTGTGTTTGTTCCATCATAGTGGCCAATTGTTTGGTTATAGAAATAGTTGGGTCTTTCCTCTCACCCACCCCACATCGCTATTCTCACAATTGTTTTAAATTGAAATCTATGATAAGGAACATAGTTCTTGATGTCTTAATAAGAAATTCTATAGCATCGAGCTTCTCTTCAACTTTGAATAGATTTTTACCAAAAATGGATCAGCAAGGTGCATCTCTTCCATGCCTTTATCTGCTGCAACTGAAGAAATTTAGACCTGTGCAGAGCCCACAAATCAGATTTCCGGCAGAAGATAACACACCTTGCACAGTGCATGAATGCACTGCCTTGTGGAAGTCCTACATTTAGCAGTACTTATATTCTCTGCACGAGCACACTACTATCACTGTGCTGTTGTCTTTCATGTTACCTTAGCTGTCAAATTTAGTTTTTAAAGAAGTGGACATGGTGTAGTGGGGTTTCATATTTCTTAAAGGCTTCTACGTATGAATATAGAAGAGTAAAATTTACTTGGCTTTGTTGAGTATCTGATAAAGTTTCTACTCACTTTGTGAGATATTTTTCCTTTCAAGTAATCCCTGGAACTTTTTGATTAAAATAATACTTAAATAATTTTCTTTTATGAATCATAGAATATTTTAAGCTTCTGTTTTTATTGTCTGATGTGTGATGTTATTGTAATTAGCTATTGATTGATGCTTGATTTTGTAAAATGAATTCATGTTTCCGTTTCTTTCCTTTTCAAACACCTTCAACCCCATAATGTTAGATTCAATTGTATTCTTAAGTTAAAACTGTCAAAAGACGTCGCGTCATCACATACATTATGGCTAACACGGGCTATTTACAGTGATACTTACAACCCAGTGCCCGGGGTGATGGATGGGGTACCTTCATCGAGAAATTATCAAGGGGGATTTGCATCTAAGCTCATGGTATGTAGATATAGATAAGCTAGTTGTTCTACTTTACGTTCTACATCTTTGATTATATTCTTTGTTCTTATTGAACTTATCCATATGATTTGCTTGTGCAAAAATAAGCTTGTGCACAATCATTGACCAAATGGACTTGCTATTGAATCCCTAAATATTTTATAGATTGCTTAAAGAAGTAAAATTTTGACTATTATTGCAGGCAAAGGACTTGGATCTTGCCGCTGTTTCAGCAAAAGAGGCAGGTGTCAAACATCCATTGACTATCCAAGCACAAGAAATGTAAAGTCCTATTATAACTTGTGTTAGCTTCAGTTCTTATGATGGTCATATGATGAAAGCAGTGATCGAGTTGCTTAGTTTGCAATATGATTTGGGTTGTGCTGGATCTTCCGTTTATATTTTCTAACTATGAATATCGAAAATGTGCTATTTTCTCTGCATTAATAGTTACCAGGTTGTACATCTTTTTAAAAAACATAAAATAATGCTATTCCATAGTTGTATTTTTTGTCTTTTTTCTGCTCTCTTCGTAAAATGTTTTTCTTTCAAGGCGCTATTTCAGAGATGACTGGCCCCCAAAAAAGCTGTCCTTAAGGCCTCTCATTCTTTAATGTGAACTATGGTTTCCTTTTTAGGTGGTCATGAACATTTTAAAGTTGATTTATATCCTGTGGAGAAAGAATTGTTAAGGTGAAAGGGTAGAGTGAGTATTCTGTGTGTATGTCCTGTATAATTCATGGGATTAATGATCATTTTAAAAAAAGCTTTTTTTCTAAATTGTCACTACCTTAATGATATCTTTCTTCTTAGCAGAATTTATACGTCCCTGTCTTTATGTACATCATATGCCTATGGCCATGCTAAATTTTTGAAGTAATTATTTGCTGGACAGGTGCTATGCTTGTTGGAGATACATTTTTTTTTTTTTTTTTTTTTTTTTTTTTTTTTTTTTTTTTTTTTGGTAAATAAGATACATTTGTTTTTAATTTAGACAGGATCTATACCATGAATATATTCCTTGATCTTTTACACTATAGTATTCTAAGTTTTAATCTGTTTATTTTAACTTTCCCGTTAGCAATGTGTTCATTCTGTGCTCGCTTACATAGGCACCCAATGGACTCTACCTATTTCTTTCATGTTTGATGTACTGGCAATCCATTATAAAAATAATAAAATCTGAATCGTTCGGATTCAGTTTTGTTTTGGTACTGATTCATTCATGTAGAGCCCATGGCAGAGCTATTGTAAGTTGTTTTTGCCTCTTCTCTCCTGGCTCTGTTATATAACATTTAGATATACTTCCTGATTCCTTAAGCACAAGCCACTCTTGTAAGATGAACTTTACCATTAGGAGATTTATGGTCAGTCCCTTTTTGGATGATATTTTGTTATAGTGGTTTCAACAATTTGTCTTTGGTCATTTATCGATTTATCGACTAAGGGAGGTGATTGATGAAAAACACAACGATGATTCTTTGGTTCATAAACTTGTACGGTATCTTTTCTTCTTTAGATATGGTCGTGGAGTAAAAAGTATTAATTGGTGAGTTGGTGCGCTTGTTTAAGATATCCTGCTTCTGTAATGCTGATATATTTCTCTTTTGTTTTTCCAGCTACCATGAACTGTGCAATGAGAGCAATTCTGCTAATGATTTCTCCTGCATCTTCCGCCATTATTATGGTGGAAAGGATGAACCCCTTAAGGATTAATCTTAAGTTTGAATGTATTGTTGATTATTTGTATCGCATAAGTAAATTTGTTCAGAATTTAATGTACAGTACTTCTATCACCTATGGTAATGTGTATATGTTAGAGCAGATTAAAAAACTTTCCAACGATATATTATTACTCTAGAATTAATGTATAGCCTAAATCTTGCTTTGTAACTTTTGATCCTGAACTCATATTAGGGTGGGGCATATAATTTATTGATGGAAAGCCCTAAAAGTCTGCGTCTTAACACAATTAGAATCGAATCATTGTCGTTTGTAAATATTAAGTTATGTTCAAAATAGGTTCTCCATTTTTGGGTTCGATTTTAGTGTTTTACTCATACTTCATTTAAAAAAATCAAAAATAAAAATAAAATTGGTATTGGACGTATGATGTATCGGCATAAAGGGTATTTTATAGGGTTATCCAACTATAAAGCTTATTTCAAGGGTTTTATAAATGTATGCAAATCAAGTGAGTTTGGTTTTGAGCCATGGTAATGAGAAATAAGATAACAAAGGAAATTGAGCTATGCTTTATGTAAAATAAGGTAGAAAAATTTGGGCCTATTGGCTAAAGTATTGGTTTTTTGAGTTTCCAAAGGAAATTTCAAGCAATCCTTAAACTCATTTTAATCATCAAGTGTTAATTGAGGAGACACAACTTGGTGTTTAACTGTTTATACTAAGCTGTGTCTACACCAAGGAAGTTATTCATTAGGTGCAAAATGTTATACATGAAAATGATTTTCTTGTTTTCAATGGTTTTCCTTTATTTGGTTTGTTAAAATTTACTTAAGTTAAAAGCAGTTTTTAATTGTGAAAAATAATTCTATTTGGAAAAACCTTTTCCTTTTCAAAGAAAAGGAAGCTACATCATCTTTCCTCCTTACCTCTACTTTATTCTCCTCTCATCTTTCCTCACCCAGGCCTTCTACTTCTAATTTCTTTTCCTATATAATTTTTTTCCTAATGAAAAAAATAAAGAAAAACTAATTTGCATTTATAATTTTACTTGGAAAAAAATTTCCACAAAAAATTATGTTTCATTGAAAATGTTATCCGTTAAACCAAATGAAGCCAAAAAAGAAGAATGAAAAAATAATAGTCCAAAAATCACACCAAATTGTAGTCCAAAAATCACACCAAATCGTGCTTGTAGCCTATTAAGAGATTGTAACACAATTTTAAATTGAGTCTCAACCAATTAGTAACACAAGATCACTTGATATTATAAATTCATAAAAATTCTTATATGTGGCTGACTACACTGTGTGGCTAGTCACCATGGGGGTTACTTCGTCATTGTTATTGGGGGTTACTTCGTCAGTGTTAATGGAGTTATTCGGTTAGTGTTAAAGGGGTTACTCGGTTAGTCTCTGTAGACACCTGATTGTGTCTCCCCAAAAACCAAACCCAGTGATGAGTACCTTTCACGTCTTTGATTAACGAGTTCGGTAAAGAGTTGAAGAGTCTCGTGAAGTTCCCTTAAGTCTTGACCATATTCCTAACCTTTTCTAAAATGTTTTAATCCAAAATCGTTCATTTCGTGCCCTAAACCCAAAATAAATCATTTCGTGTCCAACTCATAAAAACGTCCAAATCAGATTATTTTGGTCACTAATCTCGGTCCAATTATTATTTAGTTGGATGGGGTTTGAAAAGAGCTTTCCAAAGATATATTATAAGCCCAAATCCGACTTAAAACGAATAAGTTATGGCCAAAATACTAAAACGAGCCCAAATCGAACCTAGGCCCACCTAACCTATGACCCAAAATATGAGGGTCCAAATAATTTATTCCTAATTCTAAACTAATTAGGATTCCTTGGGAGCTTCTAGAAGTTTCTAGAAGGCTCTAATTTATTTTTTTCGAAAAGATAAAGATCTAAAGAGTTCGAAGCCGAATAAAACATCTCTTTATTAGTCCTTATCCTGATCAAATTCAAAGACGTCCGGATGTATTTCTTTGGCCCAATTCTATTGGAAATCAAATTCCGTACGAATGTTTATCTTTAGAAATCATCGCAGGACGGCAGAACCAATGTGCCGCGATAGTCCTATCGCGCTGCAATGGACACTGTCGCGCCATGATAGGTATATCGCCCCGCGATGAAACCTGTTTTATTCCGTTCGAAATTTTGATCTTTTCTGATCGCTTCGACTCTTTTTTTTCCTTATAAATAGAGGTCGTTTTCCATGTCAGATCATCAACAATCATCATAATAATCAATTCTCTTTCTTGATCCCCATGTTCTTAGCCTTAGCCTAAACACATCCTTGATATTCTCCCAAATCAATCACAATACTTCATTCACGAGATTCGAATACTCCAAGCCATCCTCGACGTAGGCTTCGACCTCGGCGTGAAAGGTTGATAGTTATGAGGGTTTGATCCCAAATCTATATTTCAATTCATATTTGATTTATTTACCTTATTGATTTAACTTTCTTGAAGTTTACTAACGTGTGTATTTTTTAATAGTAAGAATGTTGAGGCATCAAAGTAAGTAATTCAATCACCCTTATTATTCTTTGTTTTTGAGTATAAATCATGTTTACAATGTTATTTTAATTCCTAGTATCATGCTTAGGATGTCAATATGATTCCTAGTATCATGTTTATGATGCTTATTATAATTTCTAGTTTCATGTTTAGGATAACGCTTTGATTTGATTATTAGTGACATGATAGGATTTGTTATTAATCCGTTTAGTATCATGCCTAGGATCTTACTATTAATGATATTTTGATGATTTTGTTATGATGATGATGGTTGTATTAATCATATGTTGCTTGATTATTTATGATTTATTGTTATTGCTTGATCACACCCCTTTTTGCAGGTTTAAAGGGAATTTGTACTTGAAATCACGCTTAATAAGATAATTAATAATTGATTTTAGGCTTAATTTGATTTTAATTCAAGTGATCACCAATATTAGATTTGATTGTGCATTAATAATCAACCAACGCAGATTAAACACGTTTAGGATTAACTTGATGTATGTATGTTGATCGAAAAGCGCACATGAATATCATAAGAATTGAGTAGAGGTCTATCTAGGGCGGGTTCAATCTCATTTAGGTTGGATTCATACCATCATCCCCAAACATCTAGCCATGGTTCCGGACCACTATGGAGTTAGCGATCTTCGTGATCGTGAATGGGGTGTAACCTTCAACCCGTGAATGGTTTACAAGTTCCTAAAACTTGTTAGCGACTCTTTTATCTCTAGCTTCTTTTCCTTGGAGTGCCGCCATGCCTAAAAGCATGAATTGCAGTAGGGCTCAAGGAGTTGAAAAATGCCCCACAATTTTTGGCGACTCCACTAGGGAGGATTTGTAGATTGATTCCTAAAATTATTTTAGCAATTGATTTAGAATGAGTGGGTGAGACTTGAAAGATTCTAGATATTCATATGCGTAAGTTTGATTAACATTTTAGCATAAGCATATAAAGGTTCGCGTTGGAAAGACCATCTGTAATGCGTCAAAAACATAGGACATACACGTAGGAAAGGCAGCGAAAAATTGGAAAAAACATCGAAAATTGAAATTGCCGCATAACGTCAGAACTATCGCAGGACGTTGGGAACCAACGTCGGACGTTAGTCTTATCGCCAGACGATGGTTCCTACCGTCCATCGATGGATCTGGCGATTTTGTGCTAGCGTTCTGTCTTCGCGTTTGGCCGATTCTAGTACTGACTCGACGATTTTACTTCATGATTAAGTTTTTCCGACCTTTCTAAATCCATATGTGTTTTACATATGGTTTTAACCCTTGGGAATTCACGCTCTGTCCATCCTAATAAACGCTCCGCGCAATAATGTGTGCATCCGAGTTTGTTAAATTCACTAAACATGGAGTTGAGTTTAACTTGCGGGGTCCCATCCATCGTGCCAACCTTTCTAAGGTAAGGCTTCCGCGCGATGTATCCGGACTCTTAACCACGGACCCTCTTGGACACCATAAGTCTTGACCTTAGAGAACCAGAGCCATGTTTAGGTGGCAAACTCATTGCATCATATTGTGACTACTTGACCACTTGTGCATCTTTTACTTGTGCATACCTTGTTTGTGATTAAACTAACCCTTCATGTTGACTTATTTCTCGTAAATATGTCTAAACATACTAACCAAGGACTAAAAAGGACTTTGCTTAATTAAATTGGTTAATTAATATGAACCTATAAAGTCTAAATATACTCGACCTAGTGGACTATAGGCTTAAACCTTCGAAATAATCACTGAAAACAGATTACAGTGACGTCCTAATTTTGGCGCATCACTTTGATCTGTAGTGCAGGACGTTTGTTTCCAGCGCGCCGCGGTAGCATTATCGTGCCGCGTTGATGCCAACGCCCCGCGATAGTCCCATCGCCACGTGATGGTTCGGCTACTACTTTTTGAGTCTTCGTGTCGAGTCTCACTGTCACGATTAACTAGTTTAATGTATAAACATGGTCTTTACCTGGTCTTGTTTGAGTCCAACCACATGTCTAGTCCCATGGTTATCACACGAGTCTTGAACATATCACTGTCACTCACGAGTCCTTGCACACACTTTGTACATGTCCTTTTTTCACCATGACCATGCGTAGAGTCTTGCATGCGTTGTTTCTCGTCAATTTTTTTAGGGGGGTAAGTCGGATATTATCCTCCCAACATGAACTATTTTGCTTGAAAACTTGTCTCCCTTGCTTGATTCCCACAAAATATACACCCATTTTTTTCTTTTTAAACCTTATAAAGTACGAGTCCATTAGAGTCAAGTCATTAAAAGAGTCAATGGTTTAATTTTTACAGCGTTTGTTCAAGGAAAGAAAGGCGCTTGATTCGAGACAACACTTTTGTTCAAGTACTCCTTTTTCCAGAGCCCATTTCGAACAAGAAGAAAGGCAAAACCAATGGTAGCAACTAAATAAGAAGATGTCGACAAACTCCAACAGACCGTGGATGGTCTTGTTGAAATGATCAAAGGACTCAGCACTCAAATGGAGAAGGTTGAGGATCCTAATAAGCAAGTAACACCTGAGACAACCAAGCGCATTGAAAATAGCTTAAGTCAAATCTCCAATGACTATAAGTACCTTGGCATAAGCTCTAAGGGGATCTCAGTGGACAAAGACCTTCTTCCGTAGAAGTTATCTCCTAATGACATCCATAAGTTCAAAGCTACTAACATTCCTTATTTTCACTTGAAGGCTTTGAGACAATCATGGAGATCAAGGGGATTGATAAAAAAAGTCTTCCCCTCGCTTTTCTCTCTCTCCTTGGAACTAGTATGCCAACAATGGTTCTTCTCTATAGGTGC